TATAAATGAGGATTCCTCTATGTTATGGCAGAGACTATGACATATCTCCATTAAAAGAATTAAAAGATTGGTGAATGATGGAGTTCTTAGTACTCTTAATTTTACTGATTTTGAAACTTATGTGGACTGCATTAAGGGAAAGTAGACCAACAAGTCCAAGAAAGGTGCAAAAAGGAGTACAGACATATGAGAGATCATACATACAGATATTAGTAGTCCAGACATGGACTCACATGGTCCGAAAGACTTCATCTCATTCACAGATGATTACTCACGTTATATGTATCTCTACTTGCTTCATTACAAAAATGAAGCGTTGGATGCCTTTAAGGCCTTTAAGGCTGAAGTAGAGAAAAAATGTGAAAAACAAATTAAGATCATGAGATCAGATAGAGGTGGAGAATATTATGGAAGATACACTAAAAATGGACAAGCACCCGGTCCATTTGCAAAGTTTCTTCAAGAGAATGGGATAGTTGCGCAATACAATATGCATGGTTCTCCATACCAAAATGGTGTGGTAGAAAGAAGAAACCTAACCTTAATGGACATGGTACGGATTATGTATAGCGACTCTAAACTTTCTGAATTCTTGGGGACAGAAGCTCTTAAAACGACGTGTATATTGAACTGAGTTCCAACCAAGGCTGTTCTAAGGACGCCTTTTGAGTTATTCAAAGGTTGGAAACCGAGTTTGCGACATGTGCGCGTTTGGGGATGCCCATCTGAAGTAAGAGTTTATAACCTACATGAAAAGAAACTAGACCCAAGGACCATTAGTGGGTATTTTATTGGATATGTTGAAAGGTCTAAGGGATACAAATTCAACTGTCCATCTCACAACATTAGGATTGTGGAATCAAGAAATGTAAAGTTTCTTGAGAATGACTTGATTAGTGGGAGCGATCGATTTCAGGACATTGTTTCTGAAAGGAATTATATTGATACTCAACCTTCCACTTTAAGTGACAGATTGATTGTCATTCACAACACCCCTCAAGTTCAAACAAGTATTGGACAACCAATTGTTGAAACTCCATAAACTATTGATGACAATCCAGTAGATTAAGATGTTCAAGAATTGCCATAAATTATTGAACAACCGGTTGCACAACATGATCCTTAGGAAAATGTTGATACAACTTTATGGAGATCTATTAGAGTAAGGAAATCAACAATACCTAGTGATTATGTCATGTATCTACAAGAGTCTGACTACAACATTGGAGTAGAAAATGATCCTGAAACGTTTTCACAAGCCATGGATAGCAAAGAATCAAATTTATGGTATGATGCCATGAAAGATGAGACGAATTCTATGGCAAATAATGGAGTCTGGGATCTTGTTGAGTTGCCTGATGGTGTCAAAGCCATAGGATGCAAATGGGTCTATAAGACAAAGAAAGACTCATTGGGCAACATCGAAAGATATAAAGCGAGACTCATTGCTAAAGCATTCACTCAAAAGGAAGGAATCGACTACAAGGAGACCTTTTCTCTTGTATCAAAGAAAGATTCTCTTCATATTATTCTAGCATTAGTTGCACATTTTGACTTAGAGTTGCAATGGATGTGAAAACGACATTTCTCAATGGGGAACTAGAAGAAGAGGTTGACACGAAACAACCAGAAGGATTCTCTTCTAGTTGTGGTGAGCATTTGGTGTGCAAGCTTAAGAAATCCATATATGGATTGAAACAAGCCTCCTGTCAATTGTATTTGAAGTTTCATGATGTTATCTCTTCATTTGGATTCATGGAGAACATTATGGATCAATGTATGGTCAGTGGGAGCAAGATTTGTTTCTTATTATATATGTGGATGACATTTTACTTGCAACCAATGATAAGTGTTTGCTATATGAAGTGAAACAATTTCTCTCTGAAAACTTTGACATGAAGGATATGGGTGATGCGGCATATGTCATTGGCATCAAAATACATAGAGGCAGATTTCGAGGTGCTTTGGGTCTGTCTCAAGAAACCTATATCAACAAGGTTTTAGAGAGATTTCGGATGAAAGATTGTTCACCTAGTATAGCTCCCATTGTGAAAGGTGACAGGTTTAATTTGAACCAGTGCCCGAGGAATGATCTTGAACGGGAACAAATGAAAAATATTCCTCGTGCTTCTGTTGTTGGAAGCCTGATGTATGCTCAGGTTTGCACAAGACCTGACATTGCATTTGTTGTTGGGATGTTGAGAAGATATCAGAGTAATCCAGGTGTGGACCACTAGAGAGCTGCAAAGAAGATGATGAGGTACCTTCAAGGGACCAAAGACTACATGCTTATGTATAGACGAACTGAAAACTTGGAGGTGATTGGCTACTCTGATTCAAACTATGCTGGCTGCATTGATTCGCTAAAATCAACTTTAGGATATGTTTTTATGCTAGCCGATGGAGCTGTATCTTGGAGAAGTGCAAAGAAAACATTGACTGCTACTTCCACTATGGAGGTTGAGTTCGTATCTTGTTTTGAGGGTACCTCGCATGGTGTATGGATGAAGAGTTTCATTTCTGGGCTTGGAATTGTGGATTCGATTTCTAGGCCATTGAGGATATATTGTGATAATTCAGCTGCTGTTTTTATGGCTAAAACAACAAAACTGGTAGTCGAAACAAGCACATCGACATCAAATACCTAGCCATAAGGGAACATGTTAAGGATAAAACAGTGGTTATTGAACACACTAGCACTGAATTGATGATTGCTGATCCTTTGACTAAAGGCATGCTACCATTGAAATTTAAGGATCATGTAGATAGAATGAGACTTTGTTCCTTCATGTGATTTTCGTTGTAAGAACAGATGTTATTTTAATGAAACTCAATTGTGATATTTTTTCATATTTGTTTTCTTATGTACACATTCATTTATTTGTTGAGAAATATCATTAATGTTTGGACCTAGAATAAACATAGGGTTTATTCATTAAGTTATATAGGCTATTATTGAGAAACACATGTTTAGAATTGATCATGTTTTTGTTTTTCACGTTTTTGAGAAAGAAAAAATGAAAATGTTTCCAAAACGGCGTTTGGCGCAATCAAGACAAAAAACAGAAATGAAAATGATTTTTTGATTTAGTATAAAATGAGAGTGAAATGAAAAATGACTTTTAGTCGTTTTTCATTTTTTATTTTCGTTTTTTCCTCTCTCAAGCACAGAGAGAGAAAGAGAGACATTAATGGGTTTTTTTATTTATTTTGAAAACAATCTCTTGATAAAACTACCAAACGCATTTTCAAAAATGATTTTTGTTTGAGATTGAAAACGTTTTCATTTTCATTTTCATACAAAAAACAAAATCATTTTGGAACGAGTTCTAAACGCGCCCTATGCATTGTGATACATGGAAGATAATACTCGTTTTTAGAGAACGTATCGCCATGATTCATGTATTTTGTTTCTTACTATAGTAAATAATGGAATATTATATGGACCAAGTGGGAGAATGTTAGATTTTTCTCTTCCGTTAAACTCGGTAACATTACTGAATGTGGTCAATATCCTCCGTCATGCTAGGAACGTGTTTATACACGTTTAGAAACACGTCCACTCTTGCAACCCAAGGATGCCCACGTCCGGTGCATGTCCGAGAAGGACTCTGTGATGGGCAGAGTCTATAAAAGTGGACATAGCTCGTTGGTTTAGGTCTCTAAGCCTGCAATCTCCATTTAGCAAAATATACACCATCAACGAGAGATTGAGTGAGGTTTAGAAGAACCGAAACTGAATTTTTCCTTTTACCCACCGAGAACACAATGGCCGGAGGTGATTTTCGATATGTTTCTTTTAATTTCGCATTTGACCTAATTGCTACACAGCTTTGCTAACAGAATGTTTATATCATTAAGAAATCCCAATTGGATACAAAATTGGTTATTGTCCATGATTTTATACCAAAACAAAACTTTATGGAGTAGTGACGGAGCCGAAAATATGTTTCAGTGGGCCACTAATAGATACTTCAATTCTATGCTAAGAAATTGGAAAAAAAAAAAAGTAAATTATGACATGTATTTTCTTTTTCAAGCATATTTACTTTTCAACGTACTCATATTTTATCCAAAAATAATTTTGTATTATCACTTTTTTTTTTCAGCAGGCTTATAGTTTTTATTTTGATTGTACGTATTTGAAATCAGGAACTTTTTTTTTTAAGGAAATAACGAATTTTTAGTTAAGTATAAAATAAAACCATAATTATATGTGAATATAGCATGTTGTGCATAATCGTAGTAATATATATAATGTTTAATCAATAAACAATAAGTTTATGTAACTACTAGTTGTTAACCCAAAAGGTTTTGAAGGAGAAGGTACATAAAGTTTCAAAAAAATTCAGGTGTTTTCTAAAAAAATAAATTTTGTAAAGATAAAAAGGGAGAAATAGTGAAGAAGATTGTTAGAGAGATAAAACTACATTTTTATATGGTTATGGGTTAAAAGTGAAAAATAAAAATTTGAGTGGGGCAAATTAAAACAAACAAACAAATAACATAGAAAAATTAAAACAAACAAGCAAGTGGCCCCACTGGTCCTTTAATGCATCCGTGCCTGTTATGGAGCGTACTCGCGATGAGACGAGGTAAAACTAATTGTGATGTACTGGTATAAGGGTATAAGTGTAATAAAGAATTATATTCTTTAAATGAGGTGTCTTAATGAGAATATGGGGTATCAATAAACTTCCTTTTGAGATAATTTTATAAATTGGAGACTCGTCCGATAATGTGTTAAAAGTCAGGGATAAAAACAGATTTGGCCTATAATTTGGGAACAAAAAATTGTCTAACCCGTGTCATAAATCTGATTATCTGATGGACTTGACCTGAAGCCACTGTATAAATTATTGTTTTTCTTTTGTGCAAAATTTAACGGTTGTTACAGCATATGGGACTAGTAGATATTTGTATGGAGCTACATTAGTATAGCGTGTGTAGTCAATGAAAGCAAGGCAGAATATATTTGGGAAACAAAAAGCCAAGAGTCATAACAAAACAAAACCGGTTTATTTATTGCAAAGTTGCCTGCTAATATTCTGCTGTACAATGGTTCTTCTGAGCAACATGATTACTTTATCTCAGAGTTCACTGGAGTAGAGGCACTCGTCAACAAGTTGGCGAAGATTGGGATTCTCTAGCGCTGCAGCAACTCTTTCTTTGTCATTCAGCTGCTTATTTACTACAAACAAAAAATTGCAAGATTTTTGCATCAATATCTCAAAACTCTTGTGAAAACCTCTTCCAATAAAAGTAGTATTGTTTTTAGCTCGCAATCATATAAGAATCAAATAATATTGTTACTCTAACAATTAACAAACATTCACATTTTTTGTACCCCTAGCATAATTCTCTTATTGAATGGTGCTTGTAACATTTCCTTTACTTTACCTGATTCTTCATTTGCATGAGATCCGGGGGAGACTTTAATGTCAACCTGTAAAGTACATCATCAAATGCATGAGATGGCCGTAAGAAAAAGGAAAAAGATGTTAACACTGCAAAATGACATTAGATTTAGTGGAATTGGCAATTGTGTGAGCGAATGTGGCATATGTGCTTGTGATTGCCTCGAGAAGCTTTAAAAACCATGGGAAAAGAAAATTGCAAACCCAAGAAGCAACAAGTTGATTTCTTTGTCCATGATGTTGTACTCTAATTTGGTCAAGTTCCATTCTCTACGCAAAGAAACAATGTAACAATCTAGCAAGTAAAGAAAATGCATCCCATGATTATCTTTGTACGATTAAATGTGTTTATTTATCAATCATATGCAAACTTGAGTTATACACCCATTAAAAGGTAGTTTCAATATGTGGCAGGAAAATAGACAAAGAATAAGTGCAAGAATGCAACCTTCACCAAATATACTATTACTCTGAAGTACATTGTGGAATAATACTTACTCGGATAAAATTAAATACGGTACTAAAGTTTCCTGTTTAAGTTTCAATGAGCAGAAAATGCTAAATAAAATCTCTACTTCCACTTCTCATATCTCCACTAATTTTAATTGGGTCTTTTTTTTTTTCCTTTTTTATTTTATTTTATCAATTATGTTTAGGTTTGGGATCTCAAACAGAACACATTGATAACAAAGGACGCTCTTACATTTTTCTTTTTTACACCTTCAAAACAGAATAAAGTCAGAAAGCTACAGCAGAGTAAATTACTGACCTTATAATGTGGAGGAAAACAATGCTTTAGTTTAACTCTAAGGCATAAACCAATCACTGTTGCCATGCTACAATGCTGAATGGTCGGCGTAAAAGTTATCCTGTTATTATTATCATTTTTTTTTTTTTTTGGGAAAATGAAACAAGAAAATAAAAAGTAGTATTTAAAAATCACAATATCAGTTGGATCAAAGGCTAATTAAATTGGTATTTATAATTAAACAGGCACAAACAAATGTATGAAATATAATGCTAAAGCATAAGAATAAAGCTAAGCAAAACTCACAGAATACGTCCGAGTTTGTCATCAACGGTGATCGATTCCTCCGACAGAACACTGAGCTGCTCCAAGGAATATGGATGCTCCGGATCTCTGATGTCCCTCACGAAATTTATCAATATAATCAAAGAAACACAATTGGGTTCGTATAAAACCAAAAACCAAAAAAAAAAAAAAAAAAAAAATCAAATCTTTCATTCTTCATGCTTAGAAGAAACCATATAATTTTAACTGGACCAAGTCAAAATTAGACGATCAATTTGACTTGTAGCTGAGCTCAGTGATCTAAAATTCAAAGAACATAAATTAATACCAAAAAGAAAAGGGAAAAAGAAACGAAAAATTCGAAAAGGATATCATAGATTTCGAGAGGATCAACGGCGTCATCACCGTGAGGATCTTCGGTGCGAGCAACCCTTTCCTTCTTAGCGTGAACCACGGGGTTCGCATTGATCAGACCCAGAGTCATCTCTCTCTCTCTCTCACAGACTTGGTTGGCTCAATGCTTGGTGAAGTTTTGTCTCAAGTGGCAAATTTTACAAATGGCTATGCCAGCCAAAAAGAAAAAAAGAATTGCCTTTCAAAATGCCCAAATGTTGTTAAGTTCAAATTATAACTTAAAATTTTATTATAGTATTTTTTTATAAAAATTTTAATTTAATTTTTTTTGTTATAATTTTTTTTATATAAATTTATTTTTTAATTTAAATGAGCGAACGGACCAGATGATAGAGGTGTTGATTGATTCTAGTGGCGCTTTCGTGTGTGATGTTGCCTACTAGATCTTAGAGGCGGCTGGTTTTGAAGCACATTCCGATCTTGCCACGTCGAAATTAGGAAAGCTATGAGAAAGTCTCATTTCCCATGGTTTTTTTTCGGGAAAAAAAGTTAAACGAAGTCACTACTCAAGAAATAACAAACTGATGTGGCGTCAAGTAGTTACAAATCATACACTATAATTTCTATTCTAATTGCTACTCCGGTCCCGTAGCTCAGTTGGTTAGAGCGTTGGTCTTATGAGCCGAAGGTCGCGGGTTCGAGCCCCGCTGGGACCATGTTTTTAGGTATCGTTTCACTTCACGGATTCGGGTTGAGATGTGATATTTTTTTATACTTAAAATTAAAAACTCATTAGTGAAATAAACGAGGCGTTTTTTCCCTTTTTCTTAGTTCTATTTAAGCCACGTTGCATATTTTTTTTAGGCATGGGGCTTCCATTTCTCTGTGGATTTCTTGGTTGTTATGAGCATTTTTCGATTATTTTACTGCTCTTAAGTTGCTGATGCAATTATTTCTTCAGAATTTGCGATGGGAGAAATTCCAGATATTATTTTTTTTTTTCAACTCTTCAATTTTAATGTACTTAATTTGGGGCTATTAGCTGAAGCCTGAAAGGGCACAATAGATAATTTGCATAGAAAGTAAAAACCTTTTTATAAAATTGAATTTAACAAGTCTAGTAAATGAAAGCAGAAATGGGAGGGTGGGAATGTGAAATCATGGAAACTACTCTGGTCTCTCGTTTTAGCGGCCATTGCTAGGGAGACCAGTTACAAAACGACGTCGTTAGACGCATTAGCCAGAGGAAGATTTCGCTCCGTCGGCGAAGAAAGAACGACGACGATTAGAAGACGAAAATGGTGCACGGCGCCTACGACTCGTTCGAGCTCCTCAGAGATTGCCCGACCAAGATCGAATCCATCGAAGCTTACGGTCAGAAGCTCCTCCTCGGATGCTCCGATGGATCTCTCCGCATCTACGCTCCGGAATCGTCCGGTTCGGACAGTTCTCCGGCCTCCGATTACCATTCTCAGGCTCTGGAGCATCGTAAGGAACCGTACGTACTGGTGAGGAACATGGTAGGGTTCTCGAGGAAGCCTCTGGTTTCGATGGAGGTCTTGGAATCGAGAGAGCTCCTTCTGTGCCTGTCGGAGTCGATCGCTTTACACGGGCTTCCCAATTTGGAGACCATTGCCGTCATAACGAAGGCGAAAGGCGCAAACGCCTATTGCTGGGACGATCGGAGGGGGTTCTTGTGCTTCGCGAGGCAAAAGAGGGTCTGTATTTTCAGACACGACGGTAATTCCATATAGTTTCGTTAATTTTGGTTTTTTTTTTCGTTGTTATTTTTTTGATGCTTGAAAACAATTATTCGAAGTTTGATGTGCTTTGTTTAGGAGGCCGGGGATTTGTGGAGGTGAAGGAATTTGGAATTCCGGACGTGGTGAAGTCGATGTCATGGTGTGGAGAAAATATATGCTTCGGGATTAGAAGAGAATACGTGATATTGAATTCTACAAATGGAGCTTTGACGGAGATATTTCCTTCGGGAAGGCTGGCACCTCCTTTGGTAGTCTCTCTGCCTTCTGGTCAACTCCTTCTTGGGAAGGTATTTTCTTGTGGGAATCTTGAAAGTTCTCATTGTTTTATGATCAGTTGGATTTGTGTATATTTTGCACATATTTATTCAGTTTCACTCATTAGTTTTGAAGTTGGAAAGTGTCATAATGTGCTTATTCTAAGCTTCTGGCAAAGTGGGATTTTGAGGGTTTTTTTTTTTTTTTTTTTTTTTTCATCTTTTCTAGGTTCCTCTTTTGCAATATTCACTGAAGTGTGTAGATTGTAAAATGTAACTGTTGATTTCATTTTATTTAGGATAACATTGGAGTTTTCGTGGACCAAAATGGGAAGCTTATTCAAGAAGGGAGAATTTGTTGGTCGGAGGCTCCTTCAGCTGTCATCATTCAGAAGCCATATGCAATAGCTCTCTTACCAAGATTTGTTGAGGTAGCCCAGTAATATCTTTAGCAATACTCTTTCTTTTGTTTTTTGGTAGAAGAGCTCGTTTATTTAACTTCTTTTGTGCCATCTATGTTTTCTAGGTTCGGTCGCTTCGAGCTCCATATCCATTGATACAGACAGTTGTTCTTCGAAATGTCCGGCGTCTTCTCCAGAGCAATAATTCTGCAGTTGTTGCACTTGACAATTCTGTTTATGGTCTCTTCCCTGTTCCTCTTGGCGCACAGGTAATTATTAATCTCCTTAAAGATATAGATGCTTCCAACTATCTTCCATATTCTCAGAAAGTCAGTGAAAATTCTTTATTTGTCTCGCAGATTGTACAATTAACGGCATCTGGTAATTTTGAGGAAGCTTTGGCGTTGTGTAAGCTGCTTCCACCAGAAGATGCAAACCTTAGGACTGCAAAAGAGTGGTCAATTCATATAAGGTGAATATTATCTTGGCTAGCAACTATTATTGTGATACTTTAGCCGAGTGCGTTTTCGTTTTTACTCTTTTGTTGCACTAATGTGACATCTGTTAGGTAAAGTTGCTATAGCTGATTCAATACCTTCCTGAGCATCCACATAAATTAAAATTAGGTCTAATATTATTAAGTTATGGACACTAATTATTGCCCTAATTCACACGTGGGTTGACTTTTATGTTTAGGAGTTTCCATTTTAGGGTCTTATAAGAGAAAACACAGTGAATTGAGAGGTGTGTGGTTTCTTTTTTTATCTTCTTTTCACCATAATAAATTACTGCTATGGCTGAAAGTGGACAACTCACATTGTGGGTGAGCCGTTATAAATCTTGTTTGTTTGTTTTATCTTCTGTGATTTTATTGCTCTTGGTAGTAAATAAATAGGACATCGATTTCTCAACGCATATGTCGTTATATCATGTCATGAATTTATATTATTGTTTTAGAAACAGATAAGTTATTTATGTTTTTTATAGTTTGTTTGACTTTGTTCGCAATGCTGCAGATTTGCTCATTATCTTTTTGATAATGGGAGCTATGAGGAGGCCATGGAGCATTTTTTAGCTTCTCAAGTCGATGCAACTTATGTGCTTTCTTTGTACCCATCAATCATTCTTCCGAAGACTTCTGTACCTGAGCCAGAGAAGTTGACGGATTTATCTTGGGAGACGCCACATCTGTCAAGAGCTTCATCTAATGTGTCAGATGATATGGAGCAATTGCCTCCACAACACATGTTAGATTCTGATGAGAGTGTAGCACTTCAGTCCAAGAAAATGAGCCACAATACTCTCATGGCTCTTGTTAAGTTTTTACAAAAGAAGAGATACAGTATAATTGAAAGGGCCACTGCTGAGGGAACAGAAGAGGTTGTTTTAGATGCTGTGGGAAACAATTTTGCGTCTTATGATTCTTCTAGGTTTAAGAAACTAAACAAGGTGAGCTAATATTGCCATTATTCAGGGCGTTCTTATTTTAGTGTGAGCTTTGGAAACAGGTTCAGACAATTTTGCGTTCCTGATGGCCACTCAAATTCTAATGGAATGCCACATGGTTGTTATATATTTTTACGTCCTTATTTTTTTGGAGTTGTCTTGCAACAAATAAGACAAACAAATTCTTCGTTAAATGTCCAATTTGTCGCCACTGTTCCTTGTATCAATTAGAAAAACAACATATAACGAAAATTCTTCTACTGTTCTATATTTTTCCCCTCAGGGACGTGGTAATGTTCCCTTCGGTTCTGGTGCTAGGGAGATGGCCGCAATCCTAGATACAGCACTACTACAAGCTCTGCATCTTACTGGACAAGCTTCGGCAGCTTTGGAGTTAGTGAAAGGTGTTAACTACTGTGATGTAAAAATATGCGAGGAGATTCTCCAAAAAAATAATCATTACACTGCTTTGCTTGAACTATATAAGGGCAATTCAATGCATCATGAAGCTCTAAAACTTTTGCATCAACTAGTAGAAGAGTCAAGATCTACTGAAAAGCCAGCTGAACTAACTCAAACGTTCAAGCCTGAATCAATGATTGAGTATCTCAAGGCACGTTACCTCATTGATTTGATGTCTTTGGTCCTAGATGTAATTATATCAGGTTTTCTAATCTTATACATTGAAATTCATCGATGAAAAGGTTTATACTGTTTTTGATTCACGTTTTGTAAAACCAGAAGCTGGTGATAGCTTTTGATGTATGCTTTCTGCAGCATATGATTTTTTAATCTGTTGTCGACTACTGTTGGGTGTTATCTTTTCTTTTATCGTATAGTCTCTAACTAAACTGATTCAATTTTTTTACGCAATCTCTCTCTCTCTCTCAATATTAAAAAAATAAACACGTAATTGCTTCAATTTTAAAATGCATCGAGTTTGATTTGATATTTTCCAATAAAAAGTTTACCCTTGTTTAAGGGATTTTTTTTTCCTCGAGATCTCACCGGTGCTTTTCTTTTGCAGCCTCTTTGTGGGACTGACCCCATGCTTGTCCTGGAGTTTTCATTGCCTGTTCTTGAAAGTTGTCCAACACAGACAATTGAGCTTTTCTTATCCGGAAATATTCCAGCAGACTTGGCCAACTCTTATTTGAAGCAGCATGCTCCAAACATGCAGGCCACATATTTAGAGCTTATGCTTGCGATGAATGAAAATGGAATCTCTGGAAATCTTCAAAATGAGATGGTGATTACTACATTGCTAATCATGAAAAGAAATGATTACTTACGCATGAGCTATAGGAGTTACTGCCATGTACTGATCAACTTGTATATGGCAGGTGCACATTTACCTTGCAGAGGTATTCGAATGGTACTCGGACTTGAGAGCTCAACAGAAATGGGATGAGAAAACTTACAGCCCGACTCGAAAGAAATTATTATCTGCTTTGGAGAATATCTCAGGTTATAATCCAGAGGCTTTCTTGAAACGTCTCCCTGCTGATGAATTGTATGAGGAACGTGCTATTTTACTAGGAAAGTTGAACCAACATGAGCTTGCCTTGTCTCTATATGTGCATAAGGTAATTTCTGTCATTTCTTGATTGTTCTAAAGGTTATAATTCTAGACCGAACTATTTGAGTTTTCAATTTTGATTGTCCGTTCTGAGCCAAAATATCAAAGGGCTTTGTGTTACCCTTGCTCTTGACAATTTATCATATTGAAATTAGTTAAAAACCACCTCATCCTTGGATATCGCCATTGATGTTATATGTTACCATAGAATATTATTCTGTAAAAGGGCTTTTTGCATGAGTTAGTTCGAATGTAAAATCAACCTTAAATTAACCACTTCTGATGCTTTATCCAATCAATTAGAAGCGCTGGTGATTTTTGGTGCTTTTAGCTTATTGTGTGTATAATAAATACAACATAATTCATCAAATCAAAAAATTCATTTGAATTATTGGTGTTTGCTTCTGGTATTAATTTTTTTTTTTTTTTGAATTCTGAGAAACATTTTGAAGTGGTCATTATTTTTCTCAAGATCTTTTCTCAGTGCTTTAAAGTTATTTTCTTTCTTTGTAGCTTCATGTTCCTGAGCTGGCATTATCCTATTGTGATCGTCTGTATGAGTCCATGCTTCATCAACCATCTGCAAGACCACTTGGCAATATATACCTCACGCTTCTGCAAATTTACCTTAATCCTCAGAGAATGACCAAAAATATTGAAAAGCGAATAAGGAATTTGGTATCACCTCAGACAACAAGTATTTCAAAGGTCAGTTCTGCGACTTCAGTTAAAAGTAAGAGTCGCTCGGGTAAGAAAATTGTTGAAATAGAGGGGGCAGAGGACTCTCGGATCAGTCTAAGTAGCACTGATAGCAGCAGGAGCGATGGAGATGCAGATGAATTAAATGAGGAAGGTGGTTCTACTATTATGCTTGATGAGGTCCTTGATTTATTGAGTAGAAGGTGGGATAGAATAAATGGAGCTCAGGCCCTCAAACTTTTACCAAGGGAAACTAAACTACAGGTAGCCATTAAAAGGAGATAGGTCTTACAGACTTAGATAACTCTGATACTTGACCAAAGAATTGGACTATTGTTTATCAAGTGTTTCATTCCCACGGGATTTATGCATTCCTGACATGACTTTGTTTTGTGATGTTTCTCCCCCGCACAAGCTCAAAGATTGTGCAGGAGGAATATTATTTTTTGCTCAGTTTTTCAAATGTCTCAGTTTTATTATGATCCTTTAAAGCTTTCTTTCTTAGAAAGCTTTCTTTCTTAGAACCTTTTTAAGTCGTAATATATATATCCTGAAGGAATTTATTTTCAAATGCAGAACTTGGTTACATTTCTTGGACCCCTTCTCAAGAAATCCAATGAAGCGTGCAGAAACTTATCAGTGATCAAGAGTTTACGACAGAGCGAAAACCTACAGGTATGTAAAATCACTTCTGGAATTCTAGCTTTGGAATTGAGTTACTGTGGAATCTAGTTGCCGAGCACTTGAGGCTAGGCTACTTATTTCTTTCCAGTTTCTCTATGATAAATGTCCATATTCATTTCTTCCATTGCTGTTTAATTAGACTTTTCTTTTTAGCAAACTTGTTGAGCTTATATCTTTACAGATAGTTTAACCTTTTCATTAATCTACACTTTGCATGAAAAGTTTCCTACCTGTTATTGCTAAATAAAAATTTTACCTGTTATTGCTAACTAAAAATTTGCCACGGAACAGATTAAAGATGAGCTCTACAACCACAGGAAAGCGGTCGTAAAGATCACCGGTGATAGCATGTGCTCACTTTGCCACAAGAAAATAGGGACAAGCGTTTTTGCTGTCTACCCGAATGGGAAAACACTGGTGCATTTTGTTTGCTTTAGGGACTCACAGAGTATGAAAGCTGTGGGGAAAGGCTTGCCACTAAGGAAGCGATGATGACCAAAATTCATTGTTTGGTAAAAGCAAATGTTCTCTCTCCTTTTGCTTCGTTAGTTTCGGAATGTTGTGCATATGTACGAGTGTGAACACTGATTGAAATCATACCAAATCGAGTGGTAGAAATCTGGTTTTTCATTTGGCCAAGGGTCATCTTTGTATCTTGTTTGCAGATAGTTTGGGTGGGAGTGAGATTTAATTCGTTTGCCCGAATCATATATTCGTTTTGTAAAATTTGCAATATTTATTATATTTGTATATTTAGAGAGAGAGAGAGAGAGAGAATTTGACTGTAACTTAAAAGAATTCCATTGTATTCAACTGAGTTTTGCAGTTTGAGCATGTCCGTCTAAAAACATATCGTGGAAACTCTGCTGTAGAATGTTGCCTTTCCCCTTTTCAATTCTTTGAACCAGAATAGCATTGAATGTTGCCTTTTCCCCTTCCATTGTATTCAACTCCGTAATTTTTCTTCCACGTCTAGAATTAGTAGTAATATCTAGGGTCCATTTAGTAGGAGGGATGAATTAGCGGAAGAATGGTTAGTATACGATGGAAGGGGAGTGGGAAGAAAGTGATGGATTGTAATTTTTCTTAAAATTGTTTGGTATGATAAGAATGAATTATTGATATTATCTCTCTTTTGTTTGGTATTGAAAAGAAAAGAGGGAATGATTAGTTTAAGTTGTAAAATGCTATATTTTTCATGCAAAATGAATTGTTTTTCTTTTTTACCTAAAAAAATGAATTGATTTTTCTTTAAATGTCTATTGATTAATAATTAATAACGTAAATGCTCAATTGTATATTAATAAAATCTTGTTCAAGATTCCATCGGGGGGAAAAAAAAACGTTAAATTGTAGAGAGAACTTCATTAAAGAAACAAAATGAAGGATAAAAATGTAATTAAAAATCATTTCAGCTGTCACTAGAGTTATAAGTTTGGGTCTCAGCCCCAGCCCAACCCTAACCTCCAGGCTGTGCTAGGTCAAAGTTTCGAGCCCAAATGTTTATTCTGCCTGGACTGGCCTAAACATCGTCGTTTTAAAAATTTATTTGAAAGGGAAGTTTTATTCACACCTCATGCTTTTATGCTTTTATTAATACACCTGATTTTGAAGAATATAGTTTTTTATTACAGTTATACCCCTGCACTTGGACGGTTTATGTAATTTTACCATTGGTACACCCCACAAGTTTTGTATAACCAATCTCTGTATGTTTAGCTAAAAAAAATTTATTAGGCAGGTGTTTTCGGTGTTGTTTCGAATTGTTGCTTGTTTTTCTTCATGAGATGGGTTTTACCCCTTTGGGTTTGAGTTTGTGTTTGGGGGAAGCTTCTTGCTTTCTTGTGTTAGATTACGGTGATTTTGATCGGATGGGGATAGAAAATGACCTAAATTGGAATAAAACTAATAAGATATGTATATGGCTTAGATCTCCCTTTTCTTGTGTTTCTTCACTTCTCTGGTTTTCTCATACAATTTCTGCAACAAAATTTGCTTTGGCATAACGACAACATTATTTACATGTCTACATTATAAAAGTGAGTATAGAGCAAAAGAAGTGTGGAACAAAGAGTAATCCAAAAAAAAAAAAAAAACAGGGAGAGGGAGAATGAAACAAGGGGGCTGTGGTTTGGATTTGGCGATCTAGAGATTGAGGTTTCTGAGAAATTTGTTGTGAGGTGTGTGGAAAAGGGAAACAAAAAAGGAATATGCTTATTTGTTTTTTTTTTTCTTCCAATCATCCTTTTTAATCATTTTATTAATTAAGGGTGTATCTATAACTTTAAAGAGTGTATATTACCTCATAAAATTTAGACCGGGCCGGACTAACCTTAAGACTTTTAAGTTTTAAAGTCGGGTTGGACCATTCATCTCTCATTCAGAGTCAGATCGGACCAGGCGGCTCGAACTTTCACCTTTAACTGTCATTCTCTAAGTATGCGGGATTGTTTTATGGTGGTGCCTAGGGATTAAAAATCCCTCTCCCAATCTATCCCTTGGCCCAATTCTCTACTAAATAAGGGAATGACCTAATCCATTCCTTACTTTCTCTCATACCCTTTTCTTCCTTCCTTCTTTTTTTTTTAAAGACCATTTTTTCACTCTTAGTTAACCATCACGGAAAACACAAAGGAAAACACACTGATCTGATGGTGACAATAAGGTCAGAGCATGTATTACTTATAAGATCCCACTTGAGGATGACTTAAAATTGCAACACTGAAACTGGGGCAATTTATCAACTGCTACGTTGAATTTGAAGTTTCCTATTTTTGCCAATTGCAACCACATAATAGGGTAAGTTAACAAAATCAATAGGATTCCAGCAAAATAAATAGACAATCGATTAGAATATAAAGGAGAAGTAAACCAAGTGAGACACATATGATCAGACGTTCTCCCATAATTCTGTTGCTGATATTTAGTCTACCGTTCCCTCTTAAATTAATCTGGAGTTACATTTGGACTATGGTTCACCATTAAATTTAATCTTCTCATTAAGGTATTGTTTTGAATAATCTTCATGCATGGACTTAGAAAAATATGATCCCTGTTATGTATGTGTACACTACACAATTGGTAGATAGAGTTGATAGTGGATTTAAAAGATTGAGGAGCTCACATAGCTGTAATCAGAGGATACCGTTTTTTTTTTTTTTTTTTTTTTTTTTTTTTTTTTTTTTTTCTTAATCGTTATCAGAGAATACTTAATAGCACGGAAATAATCACAAATTTAGAGAGCATTTGATTGTAACTTTAGAAGAATTCCATTGCAGTGTGAGCGTGTCCAAGTACAAACATATCTTGAAAACTCTTTTCTAGTGTAAAATGTTGCCTTTTCTCCTTAATTCCTTAGAATCAGAATAGCAATGAGTGTCATTTCTTTGTTAAAAAAAAAAAGTAAAAAACAATTTTCATTTCCCAAAATTTTCCTTAACAACAATCTGAACCAAAACAAAATCTCTTCCCCCTTTTCTTCAGAACCAAAATCAAGCATTTTCCGCTTTAGCCAACCCCAACTTCCGAATTTGCTTCCCACAAAAACGGTAAACGACGACCCCAATTCTGGACCCTTCACTATGAGTGTCCTCGTGCAAAACCTCCACGTTGAAAGCCTTCCTTGCCTTCTTAAAGAAAGCCGAATCCTTCTTCCACCTTCTGAGGTGAGCCCTCACAAACGACGTCGTTTCCCGACCACTCAAAAGCGAGTACAGAGTCCGGAGTAGAGGTTCGTAGAGATGATCGTGGTACACTACATCCGACGCCAGAACAAGGTCAAACTCCGGCCCAATCACCTCCACGTCAGCCTCCTCTCCCCACCTCAGCGCCGAAGCAACGACGTTCCCGCCGTTCGCGGTCAACGCCTTGGAGTTCGCTTCGGCGCTGAATTCTAGGTTGGGTATGACGTGTGGGAGGTCCGTCACGGTGACATTAGCACCAAGCATGACAGCCGCGGCGATCCCCACGAGGCCGGTTCCCGAGCCAAGCTCAAGGATTTTGAGGCGGCGGCGATCTGGACCGTCCAATGCGGCCGAGAGGACGGCAGAGAGGGGGCCTTTCCTAGGGTCACGGCGGTGGTCGTCGGGGAGGTTGACGAGCGTTGTGGCTGCCGGCCATAGCTGGAACGAAAGGCCTTGCGATGGGAGCTGTCTGATTGTCAACTCGGTGTCAATCGAGCGGATATAATGCTGCTGCAACTGTGGCACCCCTGGGCTAGCATGTAGCGTAGAATGTTCCTTGGTATCGCCATTTTCGTCTTGTGTTAGGAGCATGGTGAAGGGGTTTATGTCTTCCTCATCTTCGTCTTGTTCGAACATAGTAGTAGCCATTCGGATCCGCCGCCGCCGCCAATGAAAAGGATTGGATTTCGCTTTCCTTGAGCGCTTCTTTAGGGCTTGTTTGTCTGATTTAGCAATATAGGATTTTTATATGAATTGCCCTTTTCTATCCCACCATTGGTAACGGCCCCGCCAAAACTTATGATTAGCAATATTTATTGGTGCGTATTTTTTTTTTTTTTTTAAGGTTATTTATTGGTGCCATTCGTTTACTAAAATGACTAATCCTTTAACCAATTGGGCCTCTCTTTTGAGTTAATATAAATCACAAATTTTTAATGATTACATTCCCATCATTACTTATTAAATATAAAAATTTAATGATGTTAGGCGATAAAAATTTAATTTTAATAATTGTTCTAAATTTTTTTAATCAATTTTTTAATTTATTACGACCGCTGGATCAATATTTTATTGTTACAATGATACTTATTTATGGATATATATTGAAATAACCATTAAAATTACACCCATATATATACCTATATATATGGGTATATATTTGGTTGTGGTTTTAATAGTTACTCTAATATTTATTCATCAATAAGTATCATTGTTTTAGCCATAATATATTAATATGACAATTGTAATAAATTAGATAGTTGACCAAATATGCCACGCCATCATATTTTTATACTCAATAAGTATCTACAAATAGAAACGTGACCATTGAAAACTCATATATATATATATATATAGTTAATGATGTGGCATTATAAGAATCCAATAATGAAGTCAAGCATTTTGGTTAGAGCATTGATTTCGTGCCAATCCTTGGACTCTCGACCCTATATTGTTGTCCGTGAACTCACAACAATGAGGTCAAGACAGTAGCAGGGTGGTGTTGTTGCTGTCAGTCATAAGTGTCGATTCTAAGACGGATTGGAGTAGGGATGGTGCTATTTTAAGCAACATTCTGGGCGTGTTGTTTTTTTTAACGTTTCTATTTCGGTGGCTTTTTCTGTTTTTGAGGTGTTGGTTGTCATTCTTCATTGGAAGTTTGTCGTTGTTGTGTGGTTGGCAATGATGAAAATATTTGTGTTAGGTGAACATATCAGTCCTCTATTTGGGAAAATACACACTAACACGTTGGACAACCGTCATGCCCCACGTGGCCCCATGCTTGTCACGTCGCGTAGTTATCGACGCCTCAAACTCATCCCCCTCATATGGTATAAGATCCGAGTGCATAAGGGAAGGCATGAGACCGTCGACCTTACACACAGTCGAGGCCTACGTAATCTGTTCATAGTACCGCGATAGGGTCGACCGGGAGAAAGGCCATACTTGGCAAAGTATGGCATAGGCCCAGAGGACAAAATGCAAGCAATTGGGTCCGTATCCCAAGAAAGACCTTTGAGGTGACAAGTTAGAGATCCCTAGGTTACGTCTAGGTTTGGAGAAGGTCAGTTGCATAGGGAATGATTACAAACCCTTAAACCGCCTGGAACGGATCAATGGAGGTTACAGAGGATCAACATAGCCGTAATAGGAGACAAATTAGATGAGTGAACAGTTCAAAAGGGATTGACAGGCTACAGTCTAGGTAAATAGGATAGTAGGCCACTTGAGAGGATGAGCCACTCGAGAGGATGGGCCACTCGAGAGGAACCGTCAAAAAGCCCCCAAGGGGGATGTTTATGGGTAGTCTGTGGGCTATAAAAGGGGCAAAGCCCCAAAGAGCAGAGGACAAATTTTTTCATGTAACCTGTAAAGAACAGAAAAAGAAATAAAGTACAGTGGATGTAGCTCTTCTTTCATAAGGGTGAACCAATATAAAACTTATGTGCGTTTTTACTTCTAGTCAACCACAACACCATATACTCTTCACAATACACCAAAAACATAAACACAATGTTTAGAATATTCAATTAAATTAAAGGTTTTAACCGGTAACCCGATGGACCACAGAGGGATAGTCTGGTAAAGTCTTGTTGACGAAAATCAACCGTCAACAACTGGCGACTCCACTGGGGACCAAACCCAGAATCTCTGGTTGCGGGTTTCGGACCCATGACAACTAAGCAGTAACTAACCACCAGGCCTCCAAGATGAAATGACGCTGTAAATCAAGGTAGCCAAATGGAGAAAAACACCACGCATCCAACCAACAACGGGAGTGGAGGAGGCCTGGCCGACCAGGGGAACCGGACCGTGGTGAGGGATGAAGCCCCACCCCAGATATGCCATAACTTGACCCAATATAGATGCAGGCCCAGCTGAATGCTCTGACCGACTTGGTTCGAGGACTGATGACTGCCATCGAGCGAATGGACGAGAGAAACTCCATTCCTCCTCTGGAGGACGCCCCGAGACCACCGGGAGCGGCGGCGGCTGGGAACTTAAATACTGGTGACCAACAAGGTGCCTCGGAAGGGATTGGGGAGAGTGAAAATGCCATAAGAGATAACCTGAGGCCTCGACCATCTAAGTCCCTAGGCACATGACAAAGGGCTGCCATGCAACGAGCCTAAGAGAAAAGAGCAGTCGGTCTGGAGAACCCTAAAGAGCCACCTCGAAACCCAGGTAAGGATATCCCGGGAGATTCAGGATCGGTGTAAGAAAGCGGAGACCTAAGGAATAAACTGAATGCCAGGAAGGCAGGGGCCTCAAAAGGGGTCGGCTTTGCAATCTGAACGGAGGAGGCAAGAGCCATCATGGAGCGCGTGACGAGCTTAGAAGAAAAGTCCACATGCGACTTCGCCGATTTAAAGAATGACATCAAAAGCCAGTTGAGCCACCTGCAAACGAACCTAGGATAGGTGGCGGAGGTGGTTAATGTCGACATCACTCCCAGTCGAACTCATGACCACCCCTTTACTGCATAAATCATGGCACCACCTCTCCCTGACAAATATAGGTCCCCGTCAATCCTGCCATATGATGGTAGAGGGGATCCTGACAACCACCTGGAGATGTATACGGGACACATGCTTCTGCATGGGTATGCCGAGGAAATAATGTGCCGACCATTCCGGAACCACTTAACGGATTCTGCCCGACGATGGTTTCGGACACTCAAGCCAAATTCCATCTCTAGCTGGGATGACTTGAAGGAAGCCTTCTCTCTCCAATTCATCAGGGTAAAAAATCTATCCCGCCAAAGTAAAACCTAACGACGGTGTGCCAAAAACCGAATGAGTCATTAAAAGAATGGTTGACAAGGTACAAAGAAGTCATCGCCACCATAATGGATGTGACCGACAGGGAGGCCTTGATAGGGGCTTTGTCCAGCATGAAAAAGATCACGCTGTTCAAACAAGATCTGAACCGAAAGCCACCATCCACCTAAGAATTCCTAGCACGGGCGCAGGGGTATATCAACGCCGAAGAAGCCGACGCCAACGATCCCGAACACAGATCCAATAAAAACAAAGGGACAAAACAGGGTTCGACTTGGGAAAATAAGAAAACTGAAAACGGCGAGGTGGAGACAAACAGGTCACATTGGCGTCGAATCTGCCAAAAACGAAAAAGCCCAGGCAAGAGGAAAATTGAAAGCCTCGACTGTTTCAACGGTATGATTCCTACCATGAGCTGACCCTAGGAGTCGAAGAGGTTTATAATCAGGTCAGTAGAGGAAACCTGTTGCGCCGAACAGAACCTACAAAGTCGGACCCAAATCGAAGGAATCAAAGAAAATACTACGGGTTCCACGCGTTTCAACGGTATGATTCCTACCATGAGCTGACCCTAGGAGTCCAAGAGGTTTATAATCAGGTCAGTAGAGGAAACCTGTTGCGCCGAACAGAACCTAAAAAGTCGGACCCAAATCGAAGGAATCAAAGAAAATACTACGGGTTCCACGGCGACGTCAGCCACAACACCAACGACTACACCGACCTAAAAGATGAAATTGAAAGATTAATCCGCGAAGGGAGGTTGTAAGAATTTAAAGTCGATAGAAGAGGCCACGACCACGGAAATAACAATCGACACAGGGAGGATAATACACATGGAAAGGACCGCGAGCCAGTCGGTGTCATAAGGACCATCCATGGCGGACCATATCCTGGTGGGGATTCGAGGAGATCCCAGAAGAATTGCGAGCACGAGGTGAGAGAGGTGTACCAAGAAAGGTTTTGGAACCTCTCAACTACCAAACCAGCAAAGACGACAAAATTTGGCAGTACTGAAGTGGCGTTCACCGAGGAAGATGCAAATGGTGTCCATTTTCCGCATAATGATGCCTTGGTGGTAGAGGCAGTAATTAGAAACCATACCGTGTGCAGAGTCCCTGTAGATAATGGGAGCTCGGTGGACATCATGTACTCCGATTGCCTGGAAAGGTAGGGATTCTAAAGGAGCAACTAGAGAAAACGACCCAGCCATTACACGGGTTTACAGGGGACTCAGTCATCCCCCAAGGGACGATCCGACTGCCTATAACCACAACAGAGAAGCCTAGGCAGGCAACCATGATGGCAAATTTTGTGGTAATTAAGGGGGCTCACAGTACAATGCCGTAATCGGGAGGCCGACCCTTCAGGCGCTAAGAGCAATAACATTTATCTACCATCATAAGGTCAAGTTTCCGACCCCCAATGGCGTAGGAGAAATGAAGAGCAACCAATACGAGTCTAGCGTGGCATATTCTGACACCATACATCAAGGACCAGTTGAGGACATAAAGCCTACAGACAGCCCCAGGATAGCCCCGGGGCAGCACCAGGACATCCCCGGGACAGCCCCGGGGCAGCACCAGGACATCCCCGGGACACCCTCAGGATAGCCCTGGAGAAACCCTAGGATGTCCCTAAGACATCCCCAGGACAGCGCTAGGATAGCCCCGGGACATCCCCGGGACAGCCCCGGGACATCCCCGGGCAATCCCCGGGAAAGCCCCGGGGCACCACTGGGACAGCCCCGAGGCATATGAAATTCTCAGGACAGCCCCGGGAAAGCCCCGGAACAGCCCCAGGACATCCCTGGGACATCCCTGGGACACCCCCGGGACGGTCCCGGGACACGGAACAACCCCGGGGCAGCCCCAAGACAGCCCCGGGGCATCCCCGGGACATCCCCGGGAAAGCCCCGGGGCAGTCCCGTGACAGCCCCAGGACAGCCCCGGGACAACCCCCGGGGCATCCCCGGGACAGACCGGGGCTGCCCCGAGACATCCCCGGGGC